GCTGGCCAGGTGATTTCTCTGGCTTAGTTCAGCTGTTGTGGGTAACTTATTCTGTTAGGTAGTATCACTCACTGCTTAGAACTCTCGATAGACAAGGCTGACTCACTAGCAAGTCTCAGATACACATATGCACCTTCCAGCAAAGGAATTCCACACCGACACTGATAGTCTGCGCTGTCTCCAAAACCCTGGGCCCTTAATATGTACCCCTACCTCCTAGAATAGGGTCCACTGCAGAGGCTACACAGACTATAATATTCACTTTGTAGCCCAGCTGTAGCCCCACCCTGGTGCCCCTCTCAATTCCTCCCTCCCTCATCTCCTTCCATGCCCCTTCCCTAGTCCACTGATAGGGAAGGAACACCTCCCCTTCCATCTGACCCTAGCCTACCAGGTCTCATCAGGACTGGCTACATTGTCTTCCTCTGTGGCCTGGTCAGGCTACTCCCCATCAGGGGGAGGTGATCAAAGAGCCAGCCCCTGAGTTCATGTCAGAGTCAGCTACTGCTCCCCTTACTAGAGAGTCCATTTGGAGACTGAGCTGCCACGGGCTACCTCTGTGCAGGTGTTCTAGGTTATCTCTATGCAGGGTCCTTGGTTGGAGTCACAGTCTCAGAAAAGACCCTTAGGCCCATCTTTTTTGGTTGTTTTTCTCCTTGTGGCCTTTGACGTTGATTTTATATGTCAGCTGGGAGAGTATGGGAGCAGGTGGCATAGGCTTCCAACCGTGCTGTGGGTGCTGACAAAGGCCACCAGTGGCAAGGCCCCCAGCATGCATGACTGTGAAGGGACCTTGCAGGAGGTTCCTCAAATGTGGGCCACTCAGTGCCCCTGTCCATTAAGGCACAGCTAGAGTAGAGTGGTCCCCAGCAAGGACCTCTGACCTTTGGCTTACACATTTGCATTTAAAAGCCATGATGGAAATGTAATTTTCTTGGAAGGCAGGGTTATATTCAAAGCACAGAGCCTTCTCAGCAAAGTGACAAAGACCACAGCTGGAACGGAACCTCCCAGGAGAGGCAGAGAAGGCTTCCTGAAGGGTGGGCAGAGAGGTGAAGGAAGTCAAATTTTCCTGCATAGAGAAAATCTTTGAAGTGTGTGGAGGCCTTGCCTAATCAAGCTCACTGTGAGATGCTCCAAGCACTTCATTAAATCCCACTGTAGCTGTTTTCCATTTAGGGTTGACTTGCTTTGAGGGAGTTTCAGGGAACAGAATAAAACATTTTTAATTTCCAACTTTCTTGACTGAAGGCAAAATATGCTGGTCAGATTTCCTGGAATCTAACATGGATTTGACACCATGTTACCCTCTAAAATATAAATGCACCTTATCATGCTCTAAAGGACCATGGATCTGGGAAGGTGGGAGATAACTTTGACGTGGGTGATTTTTTTTTTCTTCTCTTCTTACACTGAAGCAATTTCCTGTTTCTCCAGCAATATTGAAGCTGGAGGCCATAGAGGAGAGCACAACATGGAAGATAAATTGTCATCTTTGTCACTCAAACTTCGGCTGGACAGAGAAGAATGAATTTGCTGGTTGTTTTTCTTCCAAAAACAGGCAGGGCATAGTGATCCTGGAAGGAAGGAACAGGAAGCAGTTGCCTATGCTCTGGCCACATACAACTTCAACAGTAAGGGACCGTACCCAACAGGAAAAGGGACAGCAAAACCACCTCTACTTATCAATTCAGCCCGTCCACTGAGCCATAGGACTCTCCACTCAGCCCCCATCATAGAAAGTGTAGCACTGTGCCTGAACAACTGTTGTTCTGGAGTCACACAGTCAAAGGACTGCATCTAAGCTGGAATCGTTCAGAAATTTGTTTCTAAGTTCAGGTTTAGATAGAGGCTAGAGAAGGGAAGGGCTCCTGACATACTGAGTGACTCTTTGCGTAGAGCGAATGTTGTGGGCTTGAGTTATGGCTCTGTTGGAGTGCCTGCCTAGCGTGTGAGGAACTCTGGGTTGATTCCACCCCAGCACCACATAAACTGGGCATGGTGTGGCATGCCTGGAACCTCAGGTAGAGGTGTACACATCAGACATTTAAGGTCATCTTTGGCCATATAATGAGTTTGAGGCCACCCTGGGCAGCAACAAGACCCTGGCAATAAATAAATAAATAAATAAAAAGCAAATGAGTGAACAAATGACTAACTAATGAACTGCCCAGTACTGCATTTTAAGGATATATAGTGGATTCTTGAGTCCTTCCCTCTTCTGTATTTCCCTTTGTGTTGTTTTACTGATGGCTCCTGAAAAATGGTTAAGAGAAAACAAGGAGGAAGAGACCTAAATCTCCCCCATTTTACCCCTCTGAAGACCCAGTGGAGGGCTTGCCCACGGCGGCAGGTTTCTTAAGCATGTGTTGTCACTGCTGGCACAGGTATGGGGTGCTTTGGATCATAGGTTTTGGTTGCACAATCTGACCGACTATCCCAGGCTGGGCCAGTGACGACCCTTAATCTTTCTTTAGAGAAAAAGTTCCACTTACTTGATTTAAAAGAATAACTGCAAGCATAAAGAATTGCTGAAGGATGAAAAGTCATATAGAATCGAAGACTTAGGGACTGTAACAGAAGGCAAAAGAAAAAAAAACCAAAATCAGTGTGGAGTCACTTCCACAGTGAGAACCCTTCATGGGGCTTGGTACCCCAAGGCCCTTTGTACTCCTGTGTTACAGCCTCTCAGAAGATGAGAAAAGCCTGAACACACGAAGAGCTTAGAGGAGGGCAGAGAGGGTGGCAAGGAGAGAGGTAGAGATACTTGGTATGAGGGAGGATGGGGCATTGAGGGCCTATGGGATGCATTCTATCTAACCAATTCACTCCAAACTTCAGGTCAGGAAGTCAAAATGCCTAACTTTCAGCTCCCTCAGTCTGAGTCAGTCACTTGCTGCTGCCCTTTTAAACTTTCGGTTGCTCTCCTCTCTTTGCTTTCCATGACCATAATATATTGTCATTAGCCACAGTCCCTGCTACATAATGAGTCTTGAACTTACTCCTCCAGGATCCACTCTTATGGCTCAAGTTATGTACGAGTCTGGCAAAGGCAATTATCCTTTAGGATGAACAGCAGCAGTAAAAGAATCATGCCCCCGCCCCACTCTAAACCACGCGTCTGCTTGTTAAGATCTAGGCCAATACCACATAGAACTGCTGCTGAGGGTTCTCATCAGCTGCCTCGAGGCCACACACCACATACAATGTTACTAAAGGCCAGTCAATCATTTATAAACCATTCCATGTCAAGTTTCCTGTAAACACTGGCCTCTCAGGTAAGACTGGTACAGCTTCATCCAGCTGTGTTTTGTGCGTTCACCAGGGACTTGTTGATGGGAGCAGCAGCTAGCCAGCTTTCTGGGTACTTTAGGCCTGACTTGATGAGCTAAACTGTTCTAACTGTAGATCTGTTCTACTTAACAGGAACTCCGTGAGCCTCGTATAATTCCCAACTCTTTACCAAGCAGTTTTCCAAAGAGCTCATGGTGGCCCAGATAGAAGTATGAAAAATACATCCCAGCGCCACCTTCCACCCTGTACCCACCATGCATATCTAAATGGTAACAGCCGCTGCTTCTAGAGACAGCATGACAAACTACCCCATCCACAGGCTTATCCAGCTTTAAATGCCTGACTCCTCAGTGCTGCCTTCCCCTGCCAGCGACAAGACTGGCAACCTGGGATGTGCCAAGTGCTTGGCTCCAAATTGTAAAACAAAACAGTGTAAGAGGGAATTTGCAAGTTAGCTGATTTGTAAATACTACAGCAAGCCCCTATGTAAACATTCCTTTCTGAGTACCTATTATTTCTCTCAAGCAGTTACCTGGATGCCATCCTGACAATGGGGAAGTGTGCCACTCCTTGAATTACACACGCTTCTGTCAGTCACACTTAAACGAACCAGCTGATTGCGCATCATTAAAAACCAACACAAACCAACCCAGCCAATAGAAGAACCTGAAACAAAAACCCTTCATTAAATGGCAATCACAGGGTTGCTCAGTAATTACGGAAGGCTGGTCTTCACTGCCACTCAGACTCAACAGCAGGTCTCCAGGTGTGTTCCCATCTGAGGAGGCAATGCCACTCAAAAGATGCCAACACGTGGACCTGGGTGAGCATGAAGCCATATACATTCAGGTGTGTAAATGTTCCAACTCTTCCTCACATGCTTGAACACTGGGTCCCACTGGTCCCTTCTAACATCAGGAGTGGGAGGTGTAGGAGGGGAGGCAAGGCCCCTCTACAGCTGGCAGGCAGTGGGGCTGGAAGCCAAACACAGACGCACCTTACTACAGAGAACACGTATTTTCTTAGGGATTTATATTTTATTTCTGTATGTGTGCATCCGTGTGTATGTAGGTTTGTAGATATGTGAGTGCAACTTGGAGGCCGGATGAGGGCTTTGCCAGGAACTAGACTTACAGGCAGTTGTGAGGAGCCAGAAGTAGATGAGGAACCCAAAGCCAGGTCTTCTACAAGAGGAACAAGAGCTACTAACCTCTGAGCATCTCTCTAGAGCCCGAGTGTGAATTCTTAATTACTTTGCTAAACTCTCCACAAAATAAAAGTAAATAAAAATTTTATACAACAAAAAAATGACATCATAGAGCTCTGGCATTTCCTCCTACTTCACGAGAGGGGCCACTTAGTTCACTCAGATCCAGGGCTGAACCCCAATCCTAGAATATACAGTCATAATCAGAAAGTATCAAGGAACTGAGAAGAGGGAAGATTGTAGCAGGGTTAGAAGGCCCTTATAAAGGTTATCTACTGTCTCTGGCCCCAGCAGAAAGACTAAGTCATCCCAGAGAAAAGAAGGCTCATGCAGTTTGTACCAGCTTATTGAACCACCTGTGTGTGAAGCCAGCTGCAAAGCACCACTGGCCTCAGGTTTTTGGACGACAGCTGTGGTGCACATGCAAATAGCAATGCAAGTCAGCGTAATTCACCCACCCAACCTTCTGCTCCAGCCAAAGGAACACATGAGGCCCAGCTAAAATGCAGTCTTTGTCAGAAAATAGATTTATTATTGATAGCGAGTGAAGGTGTCAGTATTCACTACAGAGGCTGTATAAGCCAATGTTGCCTTTATATTGATAAAGATGCCTTATTTCACTTGCAATCACAAATATTATTCCAGTAAAAGAGGTACATTTTCTCTCCTTTCCGTATTTCTTGCATGATCATCACAATAAGTTACAATGAAACAGGTCCTACATAATGAGAAGAAGAGAGCACACTCTGGCCCCGCAACTCAGGCAACTACACTGTTGCCCTAGCCAGTGCTTTCTTGCTGTCCCTCCATTTGAAGTGGTTTAATGCCACCCCCACCCCCCACCCCAGCTTTCTCAGAGTGGAGGTCACTCACTAATGGTGGAGCCTGGACTGAAGAGAACATTTCATGTCAGCAGAAGTTGGAAAAAAAGTACAAAAGGGTGGGGTGGACTGCCTTTTTCTTTTATTTATTTTGTGGGTTTCATTAACACTTAACAGTGTTCTTTGATGACTGATCCCTGATCTAGACCTTGGCTTTTTAAACTGTTGATCAAAACACATTATGATTCTGTTGAGTCCATTTTCCAGTGCCTGTCTGTCTTTAGTGGTCTTTTCTTTAGTTGGGTCATTTTCTTATTAGGGAAAGAAAAATGTTCCACCTCCGGAATTCACGTTGAAGGAGCTTTGCATGTTCTCAGGGGTAACTTTATCCTCCCTTCTCCAGCATGCTCTGCAAGAGAAACAGAAAATGTAAGTTTTACCACCAGAAGGCAAGGGCAAACAAATGGCAGAGACTATTTAGGATGATTACAGTGCTTTTGAAATACCGGTTTCCAATCCGTGAGACAAAGCATATGCTTCCTCATCTCAGAACACCATTGCCTTAGCGATCAGAATGTCCACATGACCCACCCACCAGCAGTGAGAGGAACAGCTGGGGAAGAACGTGGTTTGCAGGGTGGTGGGGAGGGAGCTGTGGGCCAGCTCCACTACTAGAAGCATCTGGAAACAGGGCTACAAATGACAGGGACATTTGCTGTGTGGAGATGGTGGGGCACAGTGCAGCAAACAAACCAGGGCTCTTGAGGAAGAATCGCATCTATGAACCAAGCCCAAGCCCAGGGACACCAGCTGGCCCTGGGCAGAATGCAGACATCAAGTACACACAGCACCCTGAGGCAGCACTACGGGTGGGTCTCTTCCCAAACTGCACAAGTGCTCTCTCTACTTTCCAAATAATGGGAATGGGGATAGAAGAGAAGAACCATCAGACAGAACTACTGCCAGCCGAAACAGGAGGAGGCACATGTCCCCATTCTTATTGACCTTTAAGAATGAAAAAGCAGCTGGGAGCAGTGGTGCACAACTTGCAATCAGAGCACTCAGGAGGCAGAGGCAGGTGGATCTCTGTGAGAGCGAGGACAGCCTGGTCTACACAGGGAGTTCAGGACAGCCAAGGCTACACAGAGAAACCCTGTCTTGAAAAACCAAAAAAGAATGAAAAAGCAGTCTTCTCCCTTTTAGTTTTGAAACCACCTATGAGAAAATAGGTCAGGCCTATGGCTGCTTCTCTTATCCTCACGCTCCCTGCATCCTTGCCAGCTTAGCTGCTGAGTCGTCACTCCAGTGAGTTAAGAGCTACGGGAAAACTAACACATGTACCCTTGGGAAAGGAGAGAGTAAGAACATGGTAGTAATTTGCTACTTTTTACTTATTTACTAAATATATGCTAAGGTTTATTAAGTAACACATGATCATGATAAAACTTCCCAAAGGAACAAAGCATTCATGGGAAGAAGGTTTTTGTTCAGACCACATTCAGGGAAGGTAAGAGTTCAACAGTGAAGTCAGAACACAGACAGAAAACTGGAGCTGTGAGTAGGGCAGGTGGAGGAGCAGCAGTGGGCAGCTAAGAGTCAGGAAGAGATCATCCTGGTTTAGGGTAAGGAGGGAGGCAGGGCCAGAACAGACATGAGGTGGACGAGCTTCCTACTGAAAACACGTGGGTATCCAGCAAACGCTTTTTAAATAGAACGAAATCCCTGAAAGTGTACCTGCATGCTTGGCACAGTTAACTCAACAGACGGGAGTGTGGAGGTAGGAAGACCCAGCAGATTGGACTAAAAACCAAGCAAGGATGGGAATAGGAAAATACAGGCGCAAGAAGCTCAGAGGTAAAAAGAGGGAGGTGAGAAGAGAGGCTCAGGCCAAGTCTTAGTGACAGTGGGAGAGGACACTGTGTGAACAAAAAAAGATAAAGTGAATGTTGAGTTTGTGAGCTGATTTTGGATAAGGCATTCCTATAGTAACCATTGGAAAGAAGCTACAGGCTTGAGAAGAAAGGTCAAAGGTCAAGTGATTTAAAAACAAAGATGATGGAAAAATGGAGAGTAAAGAGTGGAAGGACAAACAAGAGGAGACTCAGGCACTAGAAACAAAGAGTGGATGGTTACCTGATTATGCTAGGGTCTGTGATTATAGGTCCCTAAGTGGTCTGGAGATGTGTGGAATTAAAGAATAAACTCAAAGGCAGGCAAGCTAGTGAGAAAAACATAGGAGTGAGAAGAAAGGATGCTGCTTTGGTCAAACAGGAAATTAGAAAAACACAGGTCCAGAGAAAATGAAGGACAAAGCTGAGGCGGCAAAGCTCCACTTGGTGGAGAGGCCAGGAGAATGCACACTGCATTCGAGGTTCCTCTCAAGTGCACTGCTACCAGCATTAGGTGTGTGGATAAAATGTAACGCCTAACCGTGCAAGTCAGATACTGCCTGCCACTGTCAGTCATAGCCTCTCTCCTAGGCTCACCTCTCTGTGACTTGATCTGTGTCTCTCTAATTACCAGGTGGGTGCTCTGTAAATGCCCCAATATACAGACAGCCTCGCTGTGCCATTCTTTACTACATGCACTATGGAGCCAATCTGAAGCAGATCTATACTGACCCATTTAGGGCTTCTGGTTACTGAGGAAGGTGACCCCTTTGGGACCCCTATAGCAGCTCTGCATTTGGGGTCATGGATCCCATGTATTTCTGAATTTGTTAATAGAAAAGAACTTTATGCATTGTGGCATATGCTTGTTGTGATCCATGGCTCTCCCTCTCACTGCATACCCAGGTAACAACAGACATCTTTTTAGTGTTGTGACACAATCTGCAGCTAGAGCAACACAATGAAAGCTGGAGCTGAAGGGTTCTCTGAGGGTTAAGGGATTCTTTTAGACATTCTTTTCTCTTCAATCCTGAGCAATTATAGATGAATAATTTTCAGCTGAATGCCAGCAATGCTAGACGTGCCCGGAGAAAGAGAAGCTGGCCATTGGCTTGAATGGGGATCAGACCATCAGAATACAGGGCAACAGATGCCTAAGCACACTGTACGCACATTCACCACGCACCTTGCTATATGTATTAAATTCCTAATCCCTCAGCCACGGTGCAATGGCTCAGAGGGTTTGTGTGTCACTCACTCTGTGGAGACGTGAGGGAACAAAGGACAGCTGTGGGGCTGGTCTAGAAAACTGCTGTCACACTGCACTTAGTCGCTACCAAACGGTGGCAGAGATGGTACAAAACTGCTTTACTCTTGTCAGAGACATTAACAAATACAACATCAAGTTGCAGTTTTTAAAAAGATGAATAAATTGATAAACATTCTGTGCTATTACTCTATTACATCTGTGCAATGAGACACACTGAGAGCTTGAGCCAGAGCCTTTGGTTGGGGGGAGCCCCAGGAATGACAGGTCTACGCCACACCTCACAGGCTGTCCCATAATCTCTGCATCTTCTGTATCTAGATGCGGTTGGGTTGAATTTCAACACCACATAAATTAACACTGCATAAATTAACATAGGAAATTCCCTAAAGAATGAAGGAGAAGCTTCGCAAGCAAGCTATATTAAAAACCCACTGCTTTCATTTAAGGAAATGCTAACACTTAATGTGGAGAAAGAAATTCCTCGCTGCTGCTCCTCATTCACATATGTGGGTCTGTAAAAACGCCTTTTGTAAACAGCTGCGTAAATTACCAAAGGAGAGAATGGTTCAGGCATCAACACTGCTCTTTTCCAAAATCTCTTTCGGTTCCAGCCACTGATGAGTTCACACTGTCAAACAGGAACAGTGCCCCAGGAGACCCACGATGCTGTGTCATTTCCACTTATTAAAATGATCTCAAGCACTTTTCTCAAATATTTTTGTTACACAGTTGTCTTGCCAGCCAGTTTCTGAACCTCAGCTTTCTTGCAGAGGCTGACTATTCAAGCCGAGAGCAGCCACTGGCTATCTCAGTAGATATTTACAAGGAATTTAAAAGCAACCTGGTATTGCTAAGCAATCATTACAGAGAGAATGGGAATTTGAGAGACCACCCAGAGTATGAGGCCCCTGGAGGGCCGCTAGCTAGCATCTCCCCAAAGCTTCAGACCCAGTAGGATTGGGTGTGGAGAGAGGACGGTTTTCAAAGGAGCAGGTGGACTAACACAGCAGCAGGTCTTGAGCCAGGCACAGTCTCAGTACTGACTTTTCACTTAAGAGAGACAGAAAATGCAGAAGTGCACAAAACAGATCTGTGATGGGACAAAGCCAGTGAAAGAGATGACTCTGGGAGAGACAGACAGGAAGAATATTCTCTACACTCAGAAGCCGGTGTTGAGTGCGTGCTGTTTTCATGGTTTGGAAGTCTGAAGAACTAACTGGCTTTTGTTTTCCTGTGCTCCCTCCCATCAGGGTTGTGCTTTGTTCCTCCTGTTTGCAGGAGACACCAGTCAACTTCGCCTGGATCTCATTCATGTCTCTGTGTGATATACAAATTAACTTACAAGCAATTAACTGTTTATGTAGCCTGCCACAAAAGTAGACAAAACATTAACAGACTGCAGCTCAAACTCTTGAAAATGAACCCTAATAATGAAGTACCTATTATGAAAAATGAAAATCCAGTACCATGGTAACATTTCTTATATTAAGTTCAACTTTCTAAAAACAGGGAAAAAATGTCATAGAGTAGAGTATTACTCTTGGAAAGCAGGTGAGAAATAGATTCCTAGCGTGGACAGGGCTTGGAGGACACCAATAGTTTGGAGCTCAGCTTGCTTAAACAGCTTTAAACTTGGTGAGCCGCCACCCCACCGAGGAAAAGAGATCATCCCGTGCGCAGCAGCCTAGCTGAAAGATTAACAAATGCCACTAGGCGATGATAAAGAATGCATGAAACACAATAAACACACATCACCACAGGCCTTCCCGTAGGCTGACCTTGATTTATCTTTATGTTTTCTGTTATAGTAGATGGGCTCCTCAATCTATGGGAAGCTAGGCTCTGAGAACTGTCAGTGTGGAGAGTGTTAGCCAAGAGACAGACTCAGTGCTGCAGTGACTCTCACCGGCTGCTTCTGAGGACACAAGAGAGGGCGGAGCACTTCCCCTGGGGTGACTTCTGGCAGCTTCCCATCTGCTTCAGAGACTAAGCTTAGATACCTTCCTAGGGACAGTGAGTATAGAGTTCTGCTAGGTAGTCTGCACAGGTAGTCAGTCAGTCTGCACAGTACCTTCTCATGAATAAAAACAGAACCTGCAGGGTTTGGTCCAAGTTTGGGGTACTTGAGCAACCCCTTATTCTTTTCAAGACAGGGTTTCTCTGTGTAGCCTTGGGTGTCCCAGACTTGCTTTGTAGACCAGGCTGGCACTGAACTCAGAGTGCTGGGATTACTGGCATGCACCACCATGCTTGGCTCTGAGCCCCACTTCTAATCTTCCAATTCAAAACCTTCAAGAGAGAGGTTGGGCATGCACATTTTTAACACTTTTCAGAGACTGGGAGGTTCATAATTCTGTGGCTTCCTGGGTTTGAAATGGGGAGCAAGCAGTGGGCTCTGCCAGGCTATGGCACAGTTCTAGTCTGCTGTGCAAACAAAAAGATGAAGTTGGAGTCCTTGATCTCCCAAGTCCTCTAGCTCCAAGATCCTGGTTGACATGTCACAGAGAACTCACTTCGCACAGTCATGAAACAGCCTGCTTTGGTGTTAAGTTTTTTTTTTTTCTTCCCCTCAAGAGCCCAGATTTCCAAGTAATAAATAGCCTTATGTTTCTAGGACCCCTTCAGGCTCAAAATAACAGGGGAACATTTTAAAGCCCAGTTGAAATATAGTGTCCTTAAGAGGGCTAACAGAAATTTTTCCTAACAAATTCCTTCATACATGATGATACTGTAGTCTTCTATTTTGGAATTAACCAATACTGAAAATTTCATTTATACCTTATACATGAGAGGACTAGGGAAATGTAATATTGAGATCTAGCTTCACTGGTCAAGGTCTTGACTTCACATTCTCTCTGTAGCCAGGGCACTCTCTGATCTCAGAAGTTCAAGTGGGAGAACAAGTCTCAAGGGAAAAGGTGCTTGGCTACTAGCCTATGGCCTACACAATGATTTAATTCTCTGCATAGTTTATGTAGCCCTCTGACTGCCCCATCATCTAACTTCAAGCCCTATGCTGACCTAAGGCCTTGGGCAATTCCTGGTCCTCCTCCTTCTCATACTGTACTCGTACTGCATCTTCAAAGACCCTCACCTCCATGAACTATACCTCACTGAGTATGAGGCATCATAGCACAACAGGAGCCCAGAACGGGATAAGGTGGCTGCATTTTGTAACGGAGTTTATTAGCTGGCAGCCAGCTTGGGGATAGCTGTTTTCCACCTTACTGACTCTGGAGAAACTGTGAACTGTATCCAGTCCCCTTGGGTCATTAGATTGCCTTGAATATCAGGAACGTGAACTTGAGGGCAGAGTATGCAGTTGAAGTCACACAGGAGACTAGTCAGCCATAAAGGTAGCTGAAGGCAAACTCCAGGGGCAAAGATACTAAAACCTAGAAATCTCAGAAAGAGAGGTGCTATTTCTAAATAGACCACGCCTGTTGAGCCTATACCTACTTTCTGCTCTCCACAACAAAGGCAGAATCAGTTCTTGCTGGTAGAGCTTCAAACCCTCAGCTCACCACGATAAAAACTAAAGTTGTGGTCACCATGAATGGTGTGAGACAGTGGCAAAGCACTATCCAATAGCCCTCAGGTGAACACACAATGTCCCACGAAAATCCCACTAGCTTCTTTGCTTTTCTGTGAATAGCAACAGGCTGGGAAAATGATAAAACATGCACACATGCACACGACTCTGCCCCAAAAAGCAAAAATATGGGGACATTTGGTATTATTCACTCCTGGATTCTTACTCTCTTCCCTTACAAATTCCCACAAAAGTCTAGTGCAGCAAGAATGAATGGGAACCATGCTTTAAAGGCAAGAAGAGGTAATTTAACATTGAGAAGCTTAGAAAGCTAGCAGGTTGAGCAAATATGGGAGCGACACAAATGTATGTCAACTGATGCTCCATTTTTGAATGCTATACTTATTGCTAGCCAATAGCTTTTACAACTTTGAAATAATATTTGAGCAATTTAGTGTCTTTTTACCCTCATGAAGAATACATAATTTAATACACTGACAATAAGTCTAAATGTCTCATGTCAAGCTACAAGGAACTATTTAAGAACACCTGAAGATTAATGTCAGCAAATGGATGAATAAGGAAAACAAAAAACAAACAAACAAACAAACAAACCCAAAAAACAAAAAACCAACGCTAAGGAACATCCAGAAATTTTCCTACCAATAAAATCTATTAGTCCTCCAAACAGCGCCCCAGGGACCTGTGAAAGCCCAACCTTATGAGTCATGTAAAACTGGAGTGGACTACTGCGATTATTCCACAGGGGAAACTCTGGCAGTGTCAGAAATGGAATGAGAGCTAAAGAGCTGCTGTCATGTCACATGTCCAGTGTGTTCTCTGGACCTAACTGGAGGCTAAGAGAGGGAGCCGGCTCCCCTGGAACTGCTACACTAGGCAGTACTTCTGCATACTAAAAAACTTTCTTCTAACAAGTGGGCAGAACTGAGATGGTGAGGTTCCACTATCTTCACAAGGACTGAAAGGACAGCCTGTATCAGAGAATGATAGCTGCTAGTGATGCAGAGATACCAGGTCCCTGCAGCCAAAGCGGTGTGGCCATTCAGGGCACAGGACAAGGGTCCCTTTTGATCATGAGCACTGTAATCTCTTGTGTTACGCGTGACCTATAGTCTCTGTTACCATTTCAGTAGCCTCAATGTTCCTTCCTCTCACCCTGCCACTACTGTTCTCATTTCCCCTTACTGCCTTACTCTGTATTTGTGGACGATGAATGTCTGTTCTCACACACATGTTCAAAAAAACAAATGTCACTTACTTTATCTTAAATTTTGTTGTTTTACTTTCATGGCATGGTACTTCTTGAACTAGTTGTTAAATTTACCATCATGGCTAATGATGAAAGAAACCATTTCTATTTACACCTCAGGTTGTCATAAAAACAAGTAAAGAGTGGATGTGACCTTGAAATTCTAAGGCTTAAAGAGATGAAAAGGTCCATGCTTCTGGGTTATCAGCTATTTCAGTGCTATCCAACCTACGGCAAAACTTTCATCTTTTTGCTCTTATTTGGTTATCATGCACTTCCAAATAACTGGAGACAGAGCTCTGAAATGTTAGACACTTTATAAACAGACTAGTTGCACGTAATAAACCACATGGCAGGCTGGGAAGTAGGTGGGCAAGAAGGTGGGTCTCTTTCTGTATCATTAGTATAATTTTATAATTTTCCTAAATGATGATCCTGAATTTGGGAAAACAAAGATGTACTAAATACTCTGCATAAATGAAACATCACAAAAACACCCAATTCACTGGTGAGAGAAATCAAGGCTCAAGGTCAGAGAAGTACTAAGAGACAGGACTTGTTACAAGCCTGCCAAATTTCTCTGCTGTACTTCACTGTGTGGCATATGTGATTTTGTTATGTTGGCTTCTTTTATTCCTTAAATAGGAACCAATGACACCATGAGACTAAATGTGATTCAATACAACCTCACCAGGCAGGTGGAGCCAATGCTCCAACGTTCAATGCTGCTACTGCAGTAATGTCAGAAATCACATTGGAAATAGACACATGTGTCACATACTAGTCTTCAACTCGGTCCCACCTCCACAGGCTTTATTATGTTAGAAAAATCCGCGAGTCAACCTAGGAGCCCCAAGTGTTGAGGTGGTACTGCTACTCAAGGTTGCGGCTTGTTAAAGCTCATCAGAGGCTACCTGTGACACATAACGTGCACTAACTACACCAGCAGCGGTACCTCCAGAAAGACCTTACAGAAAGAGTCCTGGCATATATTCAGTCATGCAGGTGCTGCTACAAGCAAGTAACAGACAAAAGCAAGCCATGAGCCTTTTCAAGAAAACACAGGCTTTTAATCCTGGTTACAGTTTCCTTACTTAATGTTACTGTTACTTCCCAGCTACCCATACAATGGTGACCCTCCCTTCAGATATTTATGAAGTGTTAGACATTTACACTAAGTGGCATCATTATAACTGAAGCAAACCTGGCTGTAGAAAGGCATGCTGTGCAACTCAAACACTAGATTTAGGTGGGTGAAAAGGTCAACTCAAGGGAGTTGATCGGCTGAAAGAACCAAGGCTTCCATCAATTTGTGTCTCTCCAAACCACGTGTACCTAACTGTAAAGCAATTATGTCATTTGCTGAGATTGTTAATTGGCTGTAGGGATATCAATAGCTTTCTAAAGCACATACATCACAGAATATATGCATCCTATGAGTGTCATATTATGCAGTTTTGAAAGGTTAAAAGAAGAACTATATAAAAGGAGGGAAATTCTCTCCTAAGTATGACTCAGTCTTCTTTTCCTGTTCAACTAATGGGCTCTACCAACTGGTGGAGGAATGATTAGTGACAGAAAGGCTGAATTTTTAAAATTTCAGCAAGACCTCCTACTACTGAGGGACTTCAAGTCTGCTGGCTCTCTAATTTACAGCCTTCTTCCACGCTGGCTTTGAACAGTGGCTTAGGGATGTGAGGCAATGACCATGAGGCTATAATTACTGGGATCCTCAGAAGATGAAAGGTTCAGAGTAAGTAAGTACATTTTAAATATATTTTCCCTCTCGTGCATAAATAAATACAAGGAGAGTTCAGGAGAGCTTGCACTCCCGTTTCTTCTTGTACAGGGACTTGAACCCACAGCCTTGAGGACGTTAGGCAAGCACTCTACCACTGAGTTACACCTCTATTCTTCCTGAACGTGACATTGCCCTGTCCCAGCCTCTCCAGTAGTTGGGATCACAAGCCTAAACCACTAGGCCTAGAGAGAATCTGGACTCTTTTTGTCAGTGAACTGGATCGAGCTATGGCCTGACCAGCTGATTTCAGAGACTCTCGATGAGGAGAACTAGCTGAGTTTAGAAAGACTTCCCACATGTTAGGTCCTTACCACTGCCCAGGGATAACTGGGCATTCTACTCTTCTAGTGCCCCAGGGAGCTAGCACACTCACCTGTTTAGCATGGTTGACACAATTCAGGTACTGAGTGGCCAGAGCAGAGCAGCTGAGCGTCTGCTGGGTGTTCTGGCGGTAACACTGGAGGATTTTGGTCTGCAGATCTGCACAGACTGGATGGTATTCATATCGCCTGAAAACAACAAGAAGGACAACTGAGACAAGGCACCATTCATTATAAGGGTCAAGGTTAACACACAAGCCCAAGTTCTACAGATGACACCAGTGCTTTACTCTACAACCTGCAATCTGCCAGTCCCAACTTCTCTCTGGCATACCCACAGCCAGCAGGTTATGAAGATCGGGTCCCTGCAGTCTAATCTTTCATGCTCACCATTATTATAGAAATTCAAAGTCCTTCCTAGATCCAGGCAATGATCTCTGGTCTCTGTGTCCAGAGCCCCAGCTCTTTCCCTGCCTCCACAGGACATCAAGAAGGTTCTTTGTAATCCATCAATTCAAGTCAGTCTGTATTGCTTCTTAAATGAAGTGCAAGGCCAGCAGAGACACTGATCAAGCTTCTGTCTGCCTTTAGCCCTTGCTGGACCGTGTACACTGCTGCAGCCTGGGTAAATCACGCTTAGCGACCAGTTACAGATCTCATGTTTGTGGTCACAAGCTGGGAAATACTTGACACTCAAATTCCACCCTTGCCTATGTAACTGAAAACTAACTGCTCATCTTTCAACTCATGCAACCTTCTTTGAACAACTCAATAGTTGTCTCCTCCCTCTAGGGTGACCCATCTACCAGTGTCATCCTGCACATGTCATGGACTATACAATAATCCTCTGCAATCCACCCCATTACATTTATCAGAATGTAAATTCCTTGGATTTTACATTCTTGGATTTACTTTGTCTTGTTTCTTTGTGACTTTCACTACTCAGTGTGGGTTATTTTTAGAGAAGTCATACAATAAGCTTGTTGAATCAAGGTAAAACAAAACAAAACAAGGTAAACATCTAAAAATCCCCCAGGTTAAACTTTTGCAATTATATTTACAAGTCTCAGATTTTAGCTGGATTGCTCTCAGTGAATATGCCATGTCAAACATAAATGTTTCCACAAAGCTTATAATAAACACTTAAAAAATACTAAGCCAAATGAATCACAAACAGAAAATACTCGGTGTGTATAGCAGAACTCGCATTACAAAGACTAACCACACAGAGAGAAAATATGCAAAACAACCATTAATCTAGGAATTTATGTTTTTAAAAAATTAGTTTAATAAAAAATGCTTCCACTCTTATCAGTTCTGTCACTGAAATCTAAATGTTATTCCCACATAATCCTGAAGTAGCATTATTTTAAGTTTAATGGGTTCTAAAAACAAAAGCCCCAGAGAACATAGGGGGAATATTTCCCATCAATAAGTAAACCCTTAGGTGACAGTTTGTCTCCTCATTACTTTTACCCAACACGATAAGCTAATATTTACTTTGCTGGAGTAGAAATGCAAGCCACATGACTGTTCCTGAGGGAATCTTCTTCCCACTCCCCCACAAAGAAGGTGGGCATACAAGGGAAAAGATTTTACATAATACTGTTTTTACTTTTTCATTCATTACTTTACTACTTGTCTAGTACCTGAGAACAGAATTTAAATCTAACTCCAGGGGTTTCAATTCTTTTCAAGCCTTTGATGCTCTGGATGTCTGTGGCTTTTTCTGGACCTAAGCTTCCCTTATCCACCCAAAATGCGCATCAGCCTCAAAAAGGAGTCAGCTATACTTTTAGAAGCACAGCCCCCAAAAAATCACTGACCAACTGATGACAGCAAAACTTGTGACTGGATAAATGTTGAATAAAATATGATTAAGCATCAGTTCAGCAGAATGCAGCAAATATATGGCTGACAATGGTAATGATGCACACAGGAGAGCTGAGCTATTGAGCTTCTGTCCCAGGGCTGACAGCTGACCAACTCTCCAACAGATCTAGGTCTAGAGTCAGAGAAAAGGTGGAGGGGAGAGAAAAGGCTGTCACTAGTAACACACAGGTAATATGCACACACACACACACACACACACACACACACACACACACACACACAGTCACAATGTGTATGCATACACACATAAATGTATGTATTTTTCTCTTAAGACTGTTGCAATAGGTAGCTCATTAGCCACTTCCTCTTTAGAAAGCAGTATTGCAAGTCACACATAAGCGCTGACCCTGAGCTGGGCCCTCTGTTGTACAGTTCAAGTCTAGGAGTTAGTTATGGTTTGAAGTGTATCAAAATATACTTTTATCACCACAAATCAATACTAGTACTCGCTTCCAAGTCCTTGATTTCCTGTCTGGTAGTTTGTTCTGTTTGGCCACCATCTGAGATCCTTTTTGTACACATTTTAACCTGCATTGATGACTAGAAGCAGAGAGGGGAAAGAACAGTGGAAATCAGCATAACTGGCCCCCAATTCCTCCAGACTTGGGTCCATTTCTCTTAGATTCATCTAAAGGTGCAGATCTGCCTTTGTATTGATCTGCAGGGCATTTTATGCTGTCCTAACGCACTGTTTTCACTCTGAAAGATGCTAAATGAGATTACTACCCAACATTAGAAAGCCATAAAGCACAAGCCATGGCGCCTTCCATTCAGGAAAATGGTTTCAAAGATATTTCCAATACGCATTATGAGAAGCCCTTCATATAACCATAGTTGGCAATTGACTTTTATTGACCGCTTTCATGCCTGCTGAAGGAAAAAGCCACTACTAGGCAAAAATAAGAAATGGCAGAATTCCAAGATATTTAGGTCAAAAAAAAAAAATCACATCTTAGTTGAAAATGGCATTTAAACAATTTAATTTCACTGGGTTTAGGAAAGATTGAGTGAAAGAATGATGAGTGACAAGATAAAGAGCAAGATGAATACACATCTGGGAAACACAGGCCAGTGATAATTAAGACACTTATCCAAAAACAAGTTGAGCCAAAAGGAACTGTTAAATAAAGCTAATCTCTGAAAACAGATATTTATAACAAAAACCAAAACCATGTTTTGGCTAATGAAAATTACTGGGAACTTTTAATTGAATTTACTCTCTTTTCCATTTCTCTTGTGTCCCCCCCCCCTTTTTCATGAGATAGGGTCTCTTATATGTAGTCCTGGATGTTGTGGAATTTACTTTGTAGACCAGTCTGGCCTTGAACTTACAGAGATCTACCTGCCTCTGTATCCTGAGTGCTGGATTTAAAACATGAGCCACCATACCTGGCCATGTTCTCTACTCTTAAGTCAGTCCTTTCACAAGCACAAACTGCTCCTGCAGTGATTCTCTGGCCCCATCCATATCCTCAGTGCATGAGCAAGGGGCTGGACGCTAGACACAATGCAGGACCAGAGTCCCAAATATGAAACCCAAGAACAATACCACAAGTGAGCACTCTTCTTTCCATGGCACCTGGGAGCAAGACTTTCCCATTTTCAGCCAATGCTTAATGGCAATATTAAAATGTATCTTGGATAATATAGTCACAGATTTTTCTTATTACACTCACAATAAGCCCATAAGTGATCCCTTGGGAAAAAAAGAGCAGAAAGAGATTGGGGCTGTTTCTAATTTTCCAAGGCTTCTAACCACCTGGTGATAGACATAAAATTATCACTACCACGTCAGATTATTTCCTTTGGAGACTTTCATGAAGGATTAATTAATTGGTCAAAGGGAGGGGAAAGCACCATGGATGAAGTGGAGGCTTATTTAAGCGGTACCCAGAAGCCCTCCTCAGATCCTGAACACAGTAACACTTGGTTATCAGTTCTATGGCTGTCTCAGCCTCACTGATGCCTCTCCCACTTTCATGTTTTACAATCTTCTTTGATGTGAGTCAGAGCTTTAATTTCTGAGGAACCTACTTATCCATCTTTTTAGTTCTGCTAATATAAACGGTGCAAATAATATGGTAACTTCAGAGAAAGAACTACATGGAGATAGTTCAGAAGAAGTCATGTGGTGACAATCAGCAGTCAGAATTCTCAAAGCTCTGGGGACACAAAAGTCACTCATTGTGAGTGCAGACACAAAGAGGATCCTTTCCTTGTATGTTAACCAGGAAGCACCCTGTGAGAGGTCTACAAACACTACGATACTGCTGCGGTTATGTAGGGGAGAGGGGAGAAAACACGAATTAATGAGACACCTAATGCTAAAGAGAAAACTGTTTTCTTAATAGGACCTAACAATGTATCTTTCATAAGGTCAGACGTTTTATGTAACATGGCTGTGGAGAGAAACCTCTCATTCTTAAGGCATAGCTCAAAAGCTATCATTAAATTACACCAAACTGTTCTTTAGATGCCAGCCCAGTGGCCAGCAGTGTTACCCCCCCTAAAATGCAGCCTTAAATCTATGCCCACTGACAATACTTAAAAGATACAATAAGTGACTATCCTTTATCATTCATAATCAAGGAACCATAAAGTGCAATGCAAAGAAAGATTTTAGAATGTAGTCATTGTTTACTAAATTTGCACTGTGTTTTACCTTACATTATAGTATCCTAATACTAATTTTCACAATCAAATGTAAACAGTCTCTAATACTGCAAGAGCTAAAAAACAAACTAAATTTCAAGCATTTCTAGGATTCTTAACTGCTAACCATTTCATTAATGATGTCTCTATTTGAACTTCAATCAAATTTCCAGTTACATATTAGAGGCTAAATACAGCTAACAGGCACCTGCTTTCTTTGTTTTCCATTTGTTTTCGCATACATTTTGTGATATAATGTCTTAAAACTAACAATGCAAGATGCTCTCCCCAACAACTATTACTATCACAACACCAAAACAGCTAAGAGCCTCTGCCAGCGTAAAGTAAGGAGCACGGATCTCAACTGTGTGTGGGTTAGCACTTAGCTTCCGTGGTTCTCAACCTTCCTGATGCTGAGACCCTTTAATCCCTCCTGGCGTGGTGACTCCTGACCCTAAACTTATTTTCATTGCTACTTCATCACTGTAATTTTTCCACTGTTTTCAATCATAATGAAAATATTTTTGGAGACAGAAGTTTGCCAAGGGGTCATGACTTACAGGTAGAACCACACGGCGCAGCCAAGCTGACAGGCAGACCAGCACTCATAACGAGTGCCCACCATTTGCCCAATAGTCAGCCTG